TAAGTACAAGGCTAAATTAGCTAATGCTAAGCTTGAGTCGTGGAGAAATTTTCTCTCAACTATTACTGTTCACAATGTCTGGAAATCTATATATAAGTATGGGATTAAGACAAATTTTGCGAAAAGAATTGAGATTTCCGGAATTAAACTTACGGATGGCAGTGTTACTTCGAGTTTGAGTGATACAATTGTTGCTATAATGACAAAGAATTTCCCAAGAGATAATGCGCGTGATGATAGAAATTCTCATAGAACTATGCGCACTGTGTCTGCTGGACCTTATATTTCTTTATGGACTGTCCGTTCTCTGCTTCAGAAGTTAACAGTGTTATTAAAAATCTCAAGAAGAACAAATCACCTGGGCTTGACTCTCTTTCTAATGAAATTGTACAGCACTTTCATGCGGTGGATAGCACATTTCTACACAGACGTTTCAACCTTTGTTTACAATTAGCAGTTTTTCCAGCACAACGGAAGAGAGCTCGGGTTGTTTTGATTCCTAAAACTTTAGATACAAGAACCCCCCCTTATCTTAATAATATTAGATGCATTAGTCTTTTTGCCTACTTTGGGAAAATGTCTTGAAACTCTCTTTATTAACAGAATAAATTGGTATTTGAGACAAAAATGCTTTTATAATGATTCTCAGTTCGGATTTACTCCTCGGAAGTCCGCTGAAGACGCCATTATTCGCCTTTGTAATATCTTGCAGTGGGCAAAGAAAATGAAGTATACTACACTTCTTATTTTCCTGGATTTCAAAGGAGCTTTTGATAATGCTTGGTGGCCATCTATCTTAAAAATTTTAAAAGATGCTGGTATACCACATAATATCTATAACCTTCTTAAAAGCTTCTTGAACGAGAGGACTGCTGAGCTTCAGCTTGGGAACGAAGCTAAGGTTCTTTCTCTAGAAAAAGGCTGTCCTCAAGGCTCTGTATCTGGACCTTCTCATTGGAACATAATCATAAATGATTTTTTAAGTCATCTCGACGGTTGTTTAAAAATTGCGTTTGCAGACGACTTACTATTAATTTTCCAAGGAAGGATTTTGAATAACATTCTTTTGAGAGCACAAGAAGTTCTAGATTTTGTCTCCAGTTGGGCGATTTCTCAAACTCACTTTCAATCCTTCAAAAAGTAAAGCTATGTTTGTCCCCAGTACGTTTGATGAACAAAATATTGCTTCTTTGATGCTCGATAATTCTCCGTTGGAATTTGTAGAAAATGTTAAATATCTTGTGTCATTCTTGACCAAAAATTAACATGGAAAAAGCACATTGAATTCCTTTCTTCTAAATGTGAAAAAATTATTAATGGCTTTTCACCAAATGCCAAAATACTTTTGGAGTAAGCTACGATGTTAAGAAACTCATGTATAAGCATGTATTGTACCTTTCATTTCGTACGGCAGTCGTGCTTGGGGACATGTTCTTGCCAAGAAGGTTAACAAAAGAAATTTAAGAAAGATTCAACGGAGAATTCTTCTTCGTATTATTAGTGGCTATAGAACCTTAAGCTATGAGGCTACTTTTGTTCTTGCAGGAGTTCCGCCTATTGATTTTGAAATTGCATATAAGAATAATATTTTTGAGTCATTGGCAACTCATGCTTCGGAAGACTGTATTAATGGAATTGTCCCCTTCACTGATCTTCCTCATCCCGCTTCTTTAGAACCCATAAATTTCTGCGATTATAAAGAGACTTTCTTTCTTTCCACCGACAGCGAGGCAGCCGGTCCACTGGGTAGTTAGCATATCGGCCAGGTAGCCCCGCTGACGGAAATAACTTGAACAAAAGACACACTTATAAATACATATTGTGCTCAAGACGATTGCTGGGGGCAGTGCAAACAAATGCTGGACGAAGACGATAGTGCATGATGGAAGAAGGGTGCATTGCGGGCGTGAAGAATAATTCCAGTTACATATTTACAGAGTAATGGATAGGTGGTTACAAATACTAAAAGTAATAAGAAGTAAAATACTAGAAAGTAAAACCAATGCATAAATAAAAAAAAGGCAAAACAGTGGAAACAATACATAAAATAAGGCAAAATACATAGTTCAAGGTTCATAATTCAAGGTTTACAGTTCAAGAAGATAAATATATACAGGGAATAAGAAAAGCCGAATAAGCTAACTTAAGATAAAATTAGTTCGCTACAGGTACAGAGCATACAGGGCTGTGCTGGTGACGAGGATGGTGGCTGAGAATTACTCCAGCCTGTCTGAGAGTATGCGTGCAATGTTTTATGCAATCGCATATGCGTTTCAATGCATTGCGATTTTTTGAAGTAGCTTCGGCCCATGCATGTATTGGTTTGCTACTGGTTGCCTAGATGATATTTAGCGGTCTCTCTGCAAGCGAACAGATAGTGGTCCGGATCTCCTACCATCCCGCATGAGCAATGCTCGTTTTCGCGTCGTCTGAAGCGATGCAGGTAAGTCATGAAGGGACCATGTCCTGTTAGATACTGAGTGAAGTGAGACGAGCCAGATTTTAGAAGCCGGCAGACTTTTGGAAAAAATCTGTAAACTCTTCTGCCGGTGGTTTCTGTCTCCCACAGATGTTGCCAACGTTCATACGGTTTTCTTTACAGATGGCAGCAAGATGAACAACAAGGTTGGCCTTGCATTTGTTCTTTTTGAAGGCCATTCCGAGATTTGTTTTCTTAGACACCGTATACGGAATGAATGTACAGTTTTTCAAGCAGAACTTCTGTGCATTTATCTTGCCGTCAAATGGATCCAGGATCATGGGACAACATCCTCAAAGTACCTTATTTGTTCTGATTCTCTTTCTTCTCTTCAACTTTTGAACAGTATTACCAGCTGCGATAAATTAGTTATCGAAACCCTAGTAACTGTTAGTTCACTTAGAATTAGAGGTATTGATATCTGCTTTGCGTATGTGCGTGCTCATCATGGTTTCTACGGAAATGAAAGAGCTGATTTCTTAGCTAAAGATGCCTTAAATTACCCATTGATATCAACATTAGCATTCCAAAGAGTTATTGGAAGTCCTTTCATTATAAAAAGCTTTTAGCTATGTGGAATGAGGAATACATTTCATATTGTAATGCTGACGTCACCAAAAGTTCCTTCCTTCTATTTACCATAGACTGAATTCCGAGTCTTTCCTCTCGTTAAATTTTAAAGTGTCTCAGTTTTTATCTGGTCAGGTAAATTTGCAAGTTATCTGTTTTCGTTTAATCTACGATCAAACAATTTATGTGAATGTTTCAAAAAGAGTTCCTCAGGATGTGGAACATTTGATTTTTCGTGCCCTACATTTGATGGCCCTAGATTATGCTTACAGAACGATTTGAAAATGTTCGGAGTGACTTGGCCAGTGAACTTATCTGTTTTCGTGAAGTCCAGACTGCTGTTCTCTGCTTTTGTTCGCTTTATTTATGAATGTAATTTTTAATGTTTATTTATACATGTAACCTTTAATGTTCTAGTTAACTTACTTCTGTAAGCCCCGTGTTGTACATATGTGGTGCACGGGGAGTCTGTATGTTCTCAAAGGAAAAAAAAAAACAACTGGAGAATATCGACATTCTCTGATGAATGTCAACACATACCAAATTACGTCAGTGATAGACCGAATGTTTGGTTATATTTTTATACATTCATATAATCATCGGTTTAAGTCGAAGAGCACAGATGCTTTAGCACAGGCCGAAACGAGATGCCGAGAAGACAGACAGAAAGGAGTTGTGACTGTTGTGCAATTGAAGGTGTCATAACAGTCTGAAATTGCAATAAATAAGATTGTATAACGTTAGCCACATAACTGTGTAAATTAATTATTGACGTTATTTTCTTTTCTCATTTAGAATGTACTGTTCTTTTTAAGTTCAACAATTTATTTACATGAGCTCTTACTTTCTCCTATTTTGACACAGATCAAAATATGCTTTAATAATAAAGGATGATGTAAAAAGTAACAAAAATATTTTTATTTAACATTCACCATCAGTGCATGGCGAATGTCGACATTTGCTTGTAAAGTAAGAAATAACAATATTTAGCAAATATTTCGGACATACACCAAGCAACTATGTAAATGTTGACATTCACTGAAGAATGTCTACATTCTCCAGATTTCGGTATTTTAATGGTAACATTATAAGTACAATGTACGCATGCCACGTACGCCACGCAATTAGTATATTATTATTATTAGCACGTAATTAGCGTATGAATACAGCTTAACTTTTATTTTCCCTGTCACCATACATATTCCCATTACTTCCCATATATTTAGGTCAAATTTCAGGACATTCTGATCAGTGGTTCTTTTTTTTAACCGACTTTTGAATGTGGAATTTTTAATTATAATCACGTTGTATATTGAGTTATCCGGAACTGGTAAATTTCCGTTGCTGCCGGTTAAGAGAGATTCTACTTTTCTCTGAAACGAGTAATCTATGTGGCTCTTCAAGCACTTTTAATGAAATGTTTCTGCAGCGGCATCTCTTGCCGTGAATGCAGTGTAAGACTTACGTATACGCTACACAGTGTAGGATTTACGTACAAGCTATAGCTTAGGGCCCCTACTTTCTTGGGGGCCCCCAAAAAATTTAAAATATAGTATAACAGACTTATAAAGGGCCCCATATCTCAAATAGCTTATGGCCTCTAAATCCGGTCTCTTAAGTCTAAATCCGGCTCTGCATGAATGGCATAAGTATTCACTCTCGCTCATGTTAAAGATCTTTTCTTGACTCAGATGTTGGACCTATGACCCTCGAGGATACATGTTTTAACCCTTTCGGTAACAGTGATCACTAACAGCAGTCTTCTCATGGCGCCATCTGACTACTACAATTGCAACTAAAAAGCGTAATTTCTAAAAATAATTGTTTCATGACCTACAAATGACACCACCAAACAAACATGAGACATGAACTAAATGTCTTCCTTATTTCTAACGCCATAAAATGCGTACTCTGGAACAGTATAATTGTTCGGTTTTCTTTGTTTTTTCAGGTGAATACGAGAAATTGACTCTTAGTCGAGATGATCCTTTGCCAAAAGTGTCGTACAATTCCAGATTCGTCGTAATGGACGCTGGATTATTCGTTTTGGTGTTCAGCGATGTTGGAATATCTCTGCAATGGGACAGAGGTACACGACTCTATATTAATGCAGATCCAAAATGGAGAAACAGGGTAAGAGAAATTAGAAAATCTGAAGGTGAAGTTAAAATTCTTTTATTATTCGCAATATAAAATTGTAGATGAAATCTGCAAATATAATTATTTAATCTGTTATACGCATTAAACGATATGAAAAATTATTTTTCTCCTTTTCGTGTATTCTTTATCATATAAATTTGAAATAAACACTTAATGTATAAAAATCTTTGTTTAATTGTGTTTAATTTTCTGTTTTTTTTTTCGTCTCAATTACACGTTATCAATAAAAAAGCTCATAAAAAATGAATATCGTCAGTTCTTCATTAAATGCGCCAAGACAGGAAACTCAAAAGCAATTTTTCCCCTTATCTGCAATACATTTTTGGTTTTAAATGCAGAAAATCGCTCAATGATTTCTTTTTTCATCATTCTTGTTTTTAAAAGAGGGCGAAGAGTTTGTTTTATAATCTGCAAAAATTGTAGAACTAAATATCCGATTCATTTTTAGATGATGAAATTTTAAAATCATAAAGGTCAAATAATCTAAAAAATGGAGATATTTTCAAAAAAAATTTTTTTTTTTTTTTTTTTTTTTTTAAATTGCATTTTATATTTACAATCAACTTCTACTGCCATTCTGAAAAAGGATATTTTTTCCTTGTTGTTGGATGTTATAAGCTAGCCGTGGAGAAACGTGATCACATTAAGCGGCGCCTACTGTATTCTGTTAATAATCTGTTTGCTATCGTAAGAGAAAATTAGTAAGCAGTAAATTTTGCTTTTTAATGTCACCTTCAACAAGGATAGGCAAATTAAAAATGGTTTCTGAACTAAAAAACTGCTGCTTTGTTGTTTTTCCTACGATTCTTTCACAAAGTGAAACACACCTATTTAAATAGGAATACACACGTATTTGAATAGAAATACGAATTAATATGTTATCAAAATACATAGAGAGCCATATAGTTGCTTCTTACGATTAAATTTCGTTTTAAAACTATTTTATAGTTAAAGCAGAGCGCGAACTTAATTGTATTTGAATATTTTAACAACTTAACCAGTAACTTCTAATCGCCGTTTGATTTTTGTTAAGAGATTCTTAAAAAATTGTTCTGCCCTTTCAACGCCTCTACACAAGTTTTCATCTTTCTCGACTCTAAAAACTACAACCTAGTATTATTTTATTTATGTATGTATAAGAGAGAATGTTCTAAAATCAGAAAATTTCTTTCTTCTTCTCTACAGGTAAAAGGAGTATGCGGGAACTTCAATGATGACCAAACGGACGATTTTTTAACGCCCTCTGGTGGTATTCCAGAAGCAAGAGCCTCCATATTTGCCGACAGCTGGAAAATCCATGAATTTTGTCCTCTGCCTCAGACGGTTGAGGACATGTGTTCTGTACATCCGCAGCGACAGGGCTGGGCACAGCAAAAGTGTGGAATTTTGAAATCCGATGTATTTGCTCCTTGTCACTCTGCGGTCAAACTTGATCCTTATTATGAACGGTAAGACATTATTTTATGTGTTTACTGCGAGTTATTAGGTTTTCCGAAGTTAGACTATTGAACAGAAACTCATCTGTATTTGGACCATGCCTATTTAAATATGCTATCAGGAACCTCCGATGGTTTAATCTAACGGTCTCGACTCTGGGGGTATAAAATACACGAATGTGGGGTAACCTCTGTGAGTGGAGTAAGGTCTATAACTATAAACAATTTCTTGTGGTAGAACAAATGAACGCAAAAATTATTTGCGAGATGGTGCTTGCTCCTGCAGCTCAAAAAATACTTTTAAACGAGATTAAGGAGGCGGAGCGTTTTTCAGTTCCGACTGAAAAAAAACTTTTTTTTCTTCTTCCGGATTTTGACAGCCAAGAGATAGAAACGCTATACATACTGTTATAAATTTGCACGGGCAATGATGGTTTACGTTAGCAGAACGCTTTTAACTATCGTTGAACAGCGCCGTGAATGACTCAATGCACCATTTCGGCATATATATTCCATTACAAGTTAAGATAGCTCAGGACTGCTTCAATGGAAGAATCTGTAATACATATATTTCAGAATAAATTTGCTACAAGCACGTGAGCTGTTGGACGTGGCGTTGAATGTGAGGCAATTAACAGTTTGAAAGACTTATATGAGAAAGAAATACTTACATATTATTTTCAGAGAGTGCAGACACAGAAACCTGATGATAATCCTCTGCATGTTATTTTTGCCCGCTGGTACCTGCAACAGGTTGCAACCAATTTTCGTATGTCTTATTCACTTATGAGAGTTCGTTTCTACGTTCGCGTATGTTTAAAACCCACAGTTTTCATCTTTAGGCCCACAATTATCTGCATGGCACGAGATCATAGGGCTACCAGGAATGATTCTGGTATTTGTGTTTCGGTTCGCACCGTATACAACTATTTAAAACCGTGCATCTTACCTAGTAATTTGAACGGTTGCACGTACAACACCTTGTAGAGACATTAGGATTTTTTGGAAGTAGGCAAGATGAAAAATTAGCAATCGCCTTCGTGGGGAATCGAACCGCGGACCTCTGGATTCCGGCCTGGCGTGCAGAACTACTACACCACGAAGGCACGCTAGAAAGGTGGAAGAAATACCTTATAACCTTCCTGTAAGGATTTCTGATGTTCTTCCAGTTATTTTCACATAAATGTGGTTCAGTTACGATGGAGTGGCAGCTCACTTCAGGCGTAACGTCAGAAATTACTTCGATGTTACTTACAGACCCCACCGGATCGGACAAAAGGGACCTATTCCTTTGCCACTATTACCAGATCTCAAATTCATGGATTTCATCTTTTAGAGGGGCATATTAAGGTCATGATCTACGAAAATTCCTTTGAATTCCATCAATATCTAGTATCAAGTAACTGAGATCATTGTTAATGTACGCCAACGCATTGTGTCTACGCTGTGAATCTTTTATTGGTCATCGCACATTTGAACAAAACGCTGAATCGTTAAAAATGTTTGTTTCTTTTGGCTTTACCTGTCTTTTTTAATTCTTTGTTATTCTTACCTTCCATACCCATTTCATTACAAATTCTGTTTCTTTCGGTCTTCAGGCCCACCAGCGACCGAGCGGTAAAGTCGCTGAACAATGGTAGTTCGGTCCGAGGTTCGAATCCCGCGAACGGGCTGGCTGCATGGGTGTTTTCGTGGTTTTCCCCGTGTATAACGTGTATACGAGTTAGTTTCCCTTAGAAAGTCATCCATGAAGGCATCCCTCCTCTTAGGCAGATAGCCTTCGAGGCTTTGCCATAATCACACACACCACAACAATCACACACTTATTTCGGTCTCCTCTACATTTTTGACAGATATTTTAGAATTCCCTGTTCTTGTCAGAACAAAGTTCAATGGAAAGTGTTACAGAAAACAGGACCCCCCCCCCAAAAAAAAGAAAGGAATAAAAATGCGTTTAAAAAGCGTTGTTTGTAATGTGTTTAAAAGTGTTTTTTACTTATTACGTGCTCCGCCCTTAGGGACCTCCACGGGGCAGGGAGAGGGAGGTATGCCCCGTGGAGGTCTTTTTAAAGGAAACTGGCTTAACTCGTATTTGCGTTACACATGGGGGAAACCCACGAAAACGCCCATCCAGCCAGCCCGTTCGCCGGGATTCGAGCCCCGAGCCGAACTACCAGTGTTCAGCGGCTTTTACCGCTCGGCCGCTGGTGGGCTTTAAAAAGTGTTGTTCGTAAGTTTCTTAAAAGAACCTGAGTTCTCAGAACGTTTTTATTTGGAAGATCGCGCTACGGTATTTTCTTGTTCTAAATCTTTGCAGTTCAAATACGTATCTAACAGACATTATACCTGATAAGAAATTACTTTTGCTAAAATTACTATCCATTGATTTTTCGACGAGCAGTATGTTAATAATTAATTTTTATAACTTATGAGCATGTAGACAGTAGTAATAAATTAAAGCACTACATATCATTATTATCACTGCAAGAAAATCGGATTCGCTCTTATAAAATTTTTACACGTGCATCCTGAGCTTTCATCAAGCCACAGTACTTGTATTATAAAAATGTTTGTTAAATATTTGTTGACTTCTGGCAACATGTCGATATAATCGTTTCTATAGAAATTATACTTTCATACTTTTACAGAAGTGTCGCTTAATTTTTTCAAATCTTGTTTTCGAATTACAATTATAGCCTGAGAAAGGAGATTTGATGTTTAAATCTTGAAAGTTTCTGCTTTTGCAGAAATGTAGGAAAAGTCTCTGTGTATCTTTTACAGATTATAAGCTGAAAGGTTTCCAGAGTTAAAGAAATACTTGTAAGTAAACTCGAAGGCGTTTAAACATGCAGAAACTCGATGTCAGTGTTGAATATGGTACCTGTCCATTTCAAAAGGCAGCAGAAATAATTGAAAATGTTTCTTCTGACGACTCTGAAAAGCAACTCGAGGAAATTATTCGTTCTGGTAGTCTGTACTTCGATGAACATACTGCAGATACGAGGCATATACCATTCATGTTAACACCTTACATTGTCAACATGCGTGACATTTTTTCGAAACTTTTAGATGAATGGAAGCTTCCTCTGCCGAGAATTGTGCTATTTGCTATTTCCAGTTGGATTACTTCACCTTCAGAGCATCAACGTAAACTGAATCATAAATTAGTTAAAGGTATTATGCATGCTCTTAATACCACAGAAATGTGGCTGTGTACAGATGGACTGAATCGTGGTTTGAGTAGCGAAATTGGTTCTGCATTTGATAGCGAAATTTTGCGTAGGAAGTGCCTGTTAAGTAGTACTCATAAAATACACATTTCTTCTTTTCCTGAAACAGCATTGATTGGTATCTGCCGACAGGAGGATTTATACTTTTCTGACAAATTTGGAGAACAGCAAATCAACGGTGAGTCTTTAAATTCAAATGTTATAGTAAAGCACGATATAAATAGACCACACGATTATTTCATTTTTGTCAGAGATCAAACAGAAAGGAAGAATGGTTTATCTCATTTCATTTTGAATTTTGCTAACCATCTTAGAGAATATGTGCGTATCAAACGAAAAACAGAAGCTGTTGTAAAACCACATCGTTTTACAGTCAGAGTAAGTGAAATTCCTGTCATGGCCTTACTTGTGCATGGAAAAGTCACCGAGATTGATTTAATTTTAGGATATCTCAAACATGGCCTACCCCTCATTGTCATCAAAGGTAGCGGCGGATTGGCCGATTTGTTGGCATTTGCTTATTATCAAGTAACATGTCGCCCTGAGGGAACTAATATGGCTGAGTACCACGAAGTTGTTCTAAAACCTCAGATAATCGACAAAATTAATCGTATTTACCCAAATTTATACGAATATAAAATATCGGAAAGAACTCTCTGCCAGAAGATATTTGACTGCATTCGATATTCGAAACAACATGATCAAGGTTTCTTAACCATATTAAGTCTTCGAGATATACAATATGAATCTTCGCATCTACCTTGCCACTTACTCACAGCTTTATTCAAATCTCAGACTTCGTACAATATTAAAGATGCTAAACAGTTGAAGAAAGACCTGTTTCTTGCAATGGATTGGAACAGCCCTGACGTGGCGATGACCGAAGTTTTTGCAAGGGATCCATCCAGCAAATTTCAAATTGACAACGAAACTTTCTTCAGGGCACTAATCAAACCACAGAGAGAGCAATTTGTTGCGCTTTTTTTGAACCAAGGCTTTCTGATACGCTCATTTTTGGATAGCAGTACTTTGCTGGAGCTGTTTCAAAATTCATTAAACAAGGAATTTTTCAGAACTATTGTTTGGGAGAGCGTTCTGGGCTTTGGATCGACTGTAGAGATTTCACGAAATTTTGTGGATAGTAAATTGATTATCTTGCTCGAGGAATTAACAGGTGTGCCATCCTTAATTAATACATATGAATTAGACTGGAATTATCGAGAAATTTATGATGACAGAACGCCTGAAGAAGCTGAAAGGAAAGCAGCTGCAGTGCTTGCATTATGGGGTATACTTTCTTATCGCGTCAATCTCGTAAAAGCATTATGGATGTATTCCGAACAGCCGGTTCATTTATCTCTGATATGTTCTGTTATTCTTAAGAAATTACAAGGATATGTATCTGACCTCAGTTTGAAGAATGAAATGGAAAAGCAATCTAAAGAGTTTAGTCAGATGGCTACTAGTTTGATGGATAAATGCTATGACAGGATTCCCGCTAGAGCGGTAGATTTATTATGTGAAAGAAATCGCGTGTGGTCTTATAAATCAGTTGTCGAGATTGCAGCATATGCGAAGAATCGTAGATTTTTGGCTCACGCATGCTGTCAAAAATACCTGGATAATTTATTCATGGGGAAAATAAAAATCCGAGACTTACCTTATGGAGATTTAACTATACCGCAGTGGCTCAAAATAGTTTTATCTACATTCTTAGTTTTTCCAATGTACTTATGGATACGATTTAATGTAAGTGACGCATCAGAGAATTCCTTGAAAAATGAGATTTCATCTTCTAGTCAAAGCCTCTTTTCAGCTGACGGGGATAAAATCTCAAAACTTTCTGAGCATGATACTTCAAAACACATATCCTTCGAAAAGCCTAAAGAAAGAAATCTTTGGTTTTGGTCTAAAATATATTATTTGTGGACAGCTCCTATAGCAAAATTTTGGGTATCTCAAATATTTTATTTCTTGTATCTTTTTTGTTTTAGTCTTGCCGTAATTTGGCCTGCTTGCGGAAGTTTGTACCTTGATTTCATAACTTGTGTTTGGACAGGAATTATAATTTTAGATTTAGGGTATAATGCTTTTTCCATAAGCCAGAAATTTTCTGGGGTTAGAATGTTTTATAAGTATACGGAAATTTTGATAATGAGTTGCTTTTTAGTATTTTATGTGTTGAGTCGAATAACTTGGCATCGCCAGTTTATGTCACCTTACAGTGCAAAAGTAATGCTTTGCATCGCTCTTCTTTATTGTTACTACAGATTAATTTTTTTATCATTTCCAATATCCTCGGAATTAGGTCCCATGTTGTATAGGGTCAAAAGGATGACCCTTGTAGATTTCATGGGTTTTATAAGAGTAACAGGCTTAGTTATCATAAGCAATGGTATTGTTATACATGCAACAATTTATCCTGATTACCCGCTTAACTGGGAACTTGCGAAAAGAACATTCTTTAATGCTATGGTATCTTTTTTCCTTACTCCTGCCGATCATTTTGGAATACCCGATCCCAAATGCATTAAACTGGTGAGACATTCAAATATGCAGTCTTTCATTGGTTTACCAGAAAATATTTGCAAAGTAGGTAGATACCTGAAACCTGACTGCCCTAATCCTGGACTGTGGCCATATCTCTTTGGCCTTCAGTACCTAATGATACTGAGATTAATACTATTAACCCTTCTGTATGCACTTTTTAGTAATACGCATATGAAGTTACAAGCAGAAGGGACTTACATTTGGAAATATCAACGTTACGAACTGGTCACAGATTTCAGCAATCGTCTTGTTTTCCCACCGCCTTTAAGTCCAATTAACTACATAATCATGATTTTTAAATTTATTTATGATTGGTTATTTGGCGTGGAGAGAAAAGACCACGATGAAACGGTAATTTTAAATAAGTATGATTTTCTGTACTGGAAAAGTCTAGCTTCGGAATATTACCAAGGAAATCAGCAAAGCAAGGAAGACGAAAAGAAAACAAGATGGCGGAGGGAAAAAGTGCATTCTCTCATGGATGCTCTCAATGAGCAAAGACACACAATGAGAGATCTTCAAGGGTATTTAACTGACTTACAAATTCAGGTAAAAAGCGCCCACCAGTATTTGGAAAGGGCCATGCTTCAAGTATCCACTAACGAACGACTGCAAGCAAAAGGAACTCCTCAGATATTTTCTCGTATTTCTCCTTACCCCCATACGAAGATTTCGCGCTATCCAGTATCCGATAAACATGTTCCTTGGCAATGTGCTTGGACTGCCTATGACCCCATTGCGTACACGAAGCCTTCAGAAGATTTTCCCAAGGAATTACGACATCATGTAGATGTAGACATACAACTCAGACGCGAAATCGAAGGTGAAGAATTCCGAATGCCAGTATTCAAGTGGAATATGTCTTCAGTAAGTCCTGGTGGAGTGTACTTAGACCGCCAGTCTTGGATTTTAGAAAAACAAAGCGAGCCTTTCATTTATGATCTCGATTCAGAAGAGTTGCCAATGAATCCCATGGGGCGTACTGGCTTGCGAGGGCGCGGCTGTCTTCCGCGTTGGGGTCCTAACCACTATATATATGTGATTATTACGCGATGGAAAGCAACAGAAGTTTTGTCTCTTCGCAATTACTTAGAAGTCGTTATTGTGGTTTCTGAACACGAAGTTACTCTGCCTGGTGGTTACGTGTCTACCGAAAATATTTATTTGGTAATTAAATCTCTCTTTCACTGCGAAGAATTATGGAGGACCTCAAGTGATATGATAGAATTTTTCGCGTCTCTAGTGCAGTCAAACCAAACACCCGTGGCTAGTACTTCAACGGTTACCCCTGCAGTACGCAGAAGTACGAGTGGAGATGTAAGTTATGATCCACTGGCTTATGAAGTGATAAAAAGAGGCTACTTAGATGAGGCTACCAACACAGATCAGGCCTGGTGTGAAGCTGAAATATGGCATTTCCATTACAATGTTCCTTGTTCTATAGATGAGACATTTAAAGCCCCTATGATATGGATGGAGTTGAACGAAATCCTTTTGGAACGAATTCCTATTGGTCAGGCCGCATTATTGCATACTGTAGCTAAAAAAATGAAGGCAGTGCTCGAAGTCACATAGTTATGTAGTAATTAGTAGTTAAATGTTTCTTTTTCTGTACTTTCTTTGAACTTTTGTTTGTGAATACGAAAATGGGTGTATTTTTATGTACATGATAACATGTATTCTTTCAATTCTGTATCAAAATTTTTTGGTTTCAATAAAATGTGAATATTGAAGAAAATTGTATCGAAATATTTTATTTCATGACATTATAATACTGTGTGATATTCACGGACGATTAAATTCATAACACATTTATATAAATAAATTGCTTATATACAGTTTCAGTACTAATGATACGTTATTAGCTGTTTTGAAAAAAAAAAAAAAAAGATAATTTTTATCATGGCAACACATTTTTTTTTTTAATGTTCACTTATTACTCTCATTCCTCCTTTATAAGTATAAAGTCATTTATAAACATTTTTTTCATAGATGCCATTTTATTAAAAATTATAATTAAAAGGATGAAATGTTTTTGAGTTCCTACATTACATTTAAATAAAAAAATCAAATCTACTTCCTTGTCAAAACTGCCAAAGCGTTTAATTGCTAAAATTGGCAAATTTTCCGCAAAGCCAGTAGCGTGCAAATTTCAAATGTCACTAAAAAGCTTTTGCGATGGCTGCTTTAGCAAGAAGAAATCTCATTAAATTCAACTTGAAGACAGCTGAAACCCAGATAAAATAACCAAACGTTTGTGTTAAATGTAGCTGTATAGCACGATTATAGGTATTATTTGGCAGTATGATTTTTCTGATAAAATGAAAAATCGCTAATTGTCTTCTGTAGAAGCGTTGGCGAGAAAAAATAGTGTTGACGCAATTCGGGCTTAAGAAAGTGATGTCTGTCAACAAATGTTATAAGCACGCACGAAAATGAAATTAACAACTGTAAACTATAATTAATTCAATATGTGCACAATATAAGTTATTTAATACAAGTATATACATATAAAAGGAATTTAATACAAATGTGTATTTATTATACAGTTTTGCCAACAATTTATTTAAAATAGCAACCAAATTCAACGGAACTTCTTTAATCCGCATATTAATTGTCATGTTTAATACAGTAATATTATTAGGTTAAATATCAGTATTAAATAAAAACAAAGAAAAGTTGTTATTGTGTGTTGTGACGTCACCCTGATCCATTACTAGAAATAAACTGCACTGTTTGGCGACCTTTTCAAAAGCTATTAACGATAAAATACGTAATACTTGTTGGGGGATGGCAAAGATAACTATGTTTACTTGTTGAGCTTTTAACGAATAAATAATAACGAATAATAAATTCTTTTGAAATACGATGCCTAATATTTCACGGATAATGTGCAGTAAGAGCAAAATTTGCTTCTATATCAAGTAAATTTACCCTGGGCTTCGTAAATTATTTTTTCAGTTTCAAGCAAAATTTAATTTGCTTTTGCATTAGTTTTGAGAAAGCACTAGCAATTTTTTTTTGTTTTAATAAATAAGAAAACACGTTTATTTATTCTAACAAATTATGTATTCGGTCATAATTTTGAAAGGATGTAAACTGAAATAAAGTGAATAATTTCTTTCATTTAATTTTTTCATAATTTTTAGCCTGTTTTGCGTTCTTTTCAGATGCGTTTTTGATTCGTGTGCTTGTGATATGGGAGGAGACTGTGATTGCCTCTGCACAGCCATCGCAGCTTACGCACACGAGTGCAGCGCAGAAGGCGTACCCATCAAATGGAGATCGCAGGAACTCTGTCGTAAGTAAAATTACATTTGAATACTAATTCTTTCTAACAGTGGATGATTATTGACAGAAAAATATAGAAGATAATTTTTTTCAAATTTACCTTCCAAGGTGAAGATAGCAAAACTACTAAAATGAAGTTTTGATACAGTTACTGTTAACGTTTGCTATTAACGTTGTCGAACGCGAGAGTTAACGTTAATTCACGCGAAGGAGGAAACTCCTTGATTCGCACACTGCGTGTGCGGCAAAATCGCGTTCCGTAGAAAGTTAACAGAAAGTTAATTTTCTGTGAGATAAAAAAAAGGGGGGCTAGGTATAGTTCAGATTAATAAATGTACAATATACAAACCTAAATGTTATTATAATTAAAAGAGAAAATGAAACAAATGTTACTTTAAAGCATTTCTATTGCTGCTTAATGAGTAGGTACATGCTACAATTACTTTTTTAAATAACTGGTGATTTTTGCTTAGGACAATATCTCACGTAACTCATTAAACGTGTCGTGGTACAGTGCTTTTCGATGCCTCTCATTAAGTGTCTTCTTCGTTCATTTGGGTCAATCTCCATTATAAAATCAGTTCCTGTGCCTTTATCTACAATTAGTTTAACGTCTTGTACTTCAAAAGGCTCTTTATTTTCTACACTGTTGGCGGCTGGGAGTTATAAATTCACCCAGTTCTTCATTTGTCATTTCATCATCGTCATCCGTGACTAATTCTCCTTCTTCCATATCTGAAAATCCTTCGTAGATATTGCTCTCGCAATATCTATAGTTTCTTTGCCTTCCTTTTCAATCAATGGAAATTTAAAAAAATGTTTGATAATTTCTGGTCAGCGCTGAGCCAGCAAGTGTTCATTGTTGATAAATTCACCTTTTCCCACACGAGTCTGTGAGGTTTTCACAAACATTTCTTCAACATCGACGCTGAAGGCACGTCCTGATTTCTCTGGCGCTTATGCGCTTAAGAAGCCCGACTCCGCGGGACTATAAAAAAAATTAACTCTTCCCATCTGTTTTACGAGTTCGTTTTCACATTCTGCTCATTGCTGAGATTAATGTCATTCTTACGCTATATATATATTTTGATTTATTAAAAGAATTTATTCTTTACAAATTGGTGTTTAATAACCATATAAAAACACAAAAGGTTAGTCATTTCTATGCGATGAACGTTGGAATTGCTTCCAAAATGCCATTAATGTGTTGTTCTCTCCTTTATCTAGTGCTTTATTTGCAGCTATGTAAACATAATAGGCTATTTTTATGATTCCTTGATCCATTGGTTGAATTCAGGAAGTGTTGTTCGGTGGAAGGAATAAAATAATACATTTGGATGCTATGTTATGAAATTTTCAGTACCGTGTCCTGGAGCATTATCGAGAATTAGGAGAATTTTAATGTTCAGGTTTTGCTACTATAAATAATGTTTAACTTCTTTAATGAATGAATTTTCAAACCAATCATTAAAGAGAACTATCGCAATGCAACCGACGCTGCGCTGCACGCCGCTTACAACTGAAACTCTCGAAATGGGCAAACTAAATGAAGACACATAAGATAAATCGTGCTCCGAAAACTCGCATTCAGCAAGGGTTTACTGTAGACTAAAAATTTGGCTATAATTAAATGTTAAAATACTCTTGTAATCCATGTAACAATGTGAAATTAATTGTTCTAGTGCTTTGAGATAGTTGAGATATCTTTGTGAATAGACCATTTTTTGAAAAACGGAACATTAAGAAATGATGAATATTCTTGATGAGAAGATGGATACAAAGTGAATTCATTGAAAAACGCTGAAGGCTTTCTCTTTCTGGTGTAACATTCAATTGCTAAAAATTTTAAAATATCTTCTCAGAAACTATTAGAATGAGCTAAAACTAATGATCAAATCACATGAATTTAAAAAAGCTTATCAGATCATCCAGTTGTTCATTTATCATTCTTCATTAATTCTTTGATTTCTCCTTATTTCATATCTTCTGCTGTAAAGCACTTCATTTACAACAGAAATATCTTCTCCTTCTTTCATATCTAGCATTTCTAAAGAACTTAGTAAACTCTGAAACACCAAATGTGAATTGCAGAGGGCGTTAACACACTTTTAGAACGATTATGGGGCTATTTAATAAATGTTTAATATCATATAAAAATCATTTTTAAGAGTTCGATTTGATAGCCATTTCTTCTGGATTTCAGTATGCATTGTGATTTCCATATGAGAAGGGCTTTTCGTAAAATTTACAGGGTTATTGATTTCCATTTTTCTTCCACTGCTTTTCAGAGTCCATTCACCGTGATAAGTTCGAGCTTAGAACTGTTTTCAAATGACCAAAGGCACAATAGTCCATACGTGAAACATCAGATGACTTTATAAAAATATATATGCAATACTTTAAGCAGTCTTAATTTTATCAAGGAATGCAGTGGTACTTTCGAATTATGACTTGTTGCTTTATCTTGATGACGTTTGACTCTTTGAAAGTCATTGGGTTAAAGAAATGGAATGTCTTCTGTAAATATCAGACTTAAAACTTTCTCTTCATAGTGCGCTGAGTTGATTATAATACTTTTCCCACTCTTCTTATTTTTAGTTCCTCATTGAAAAGGAATCCTGCGACAAAGTCCCTTACTGAAACTTTCTTTGCTCTGGCGGTTTGGTTTGGTTTATTTAATTACGGCAAAGCACACTAGGCCTATCTGCCTAAGGGGAGGGATGCCTTCGTGGAGGACTTTCTAAGGGAAACTGGCTCGTATACACTTTACACATAGGGAAAACTTTGGCGGCACCAGGATTCTAGTTTTTTTTCTCTTCCTTTTCTGTAATTAAACAGACCTTTTTTTGTTGCAGTTATTTAGGTAAATTCATGCGTCAACGAGAGTCACAGCATGTTTTCACTTATCTCCTGCTAAAAGGTTTTCATACGGGGTTATACAATTTGTTTTGCGTTGAGCCACGTGCCTCGACAACATTTATTTTTTTAGCTTTTTTAAGTTGTATGCATTTGGTTTATTGCTTTATTTATTGTTGCCACAGATGTAAAAACTTTGCAACTGATTTTACCTCAGGAGATTTTCTCTTATTACCAACGACGGTTTTTTCCCCTTTTCAATTCATAATATCTTACTGTGCATTTAGAAATTTTAATACAATGCATTTCGCAAAGGTTTTGAATTATCGAATAAGAATATTTTTCTTCGAAAATCGCGAAACATATCCTTGAATCTACAACTGGTTTCCATGCGGCATTTTGAAAAACAAATCATTTTAAAAGTAAGAGACGATATTTTTCATTTCAAATAATAAACTGTTGCCAGAATTTTTTCAAAAACATTTGCTTTATTTAATTCTTTATGGAAATCTTTCCAAAAATGTGTGATATATGTTAAAGTATAATTTTGCACATAAAAAGAATGCATTTTGCCCCATCAAAAAGGATGTAATTACATAGTTTGTGAAATATAAAAAAACATGATTACAGTACAGTTCACCATAGAATTTTTTATTGCTATTATTTTATGTATCAAACTACAAACTATTAGTAATTCATAAACAGTATCCTTAAATTGTTGGATCGGCTTACTAAGCTCTAATGTATTTCTCTCTTTAACTCTTACCTAGCCATTCAGTGTGAAGAATGTGCGACTTACGAAAGTTGCATTCCGTCGTGCCCGAAGATGACATGTGAAAACGAACTTATCTACGGCAAAATTAAAGAAGCCTGTACTTTTGATTTCTGCGTGGAAGGTTGCAATCCCAAACCTTGCCCTGAAGGACAAATATACAATAATGGGAGAGAGTATAAATGTGTCCCTCAAGTGGATTGCGTTGCACCTTGTATGGAAATAAATGGAGTGCTTTACAACGAAGGAGATAGAATTACAGATCCCAAAGTCACAGACAGTTGCCAATCTTGGTAAGTGCGAGTGAGTCGTTCAAAAGCTGGTTACTGCTGTATCTTGCTTATTGACTGACAATTCATGTATGTGTTATTGTTATTTGCATTTTATTTCAGAGACCTGTAAACCAGTATATTTCTAAATTTCATTAACTGTATTGAATTGGAAATTTCATTCTATGAAGGCATGAGTATATTGGCATATTAGTAAGGTGATATGATGCGGGTACACTATACGTCGTTTAATGTGATCGCGATTAATGCTATAATTCGGATATTGTTTTCGAATTGCCAAAGTTCTGCATTTTAGTATACGATAACAAAACATTTTGATTAAAGATTCTGTTGATAGGTTCAAAATCTTATAGAATTTATTTTTTAACTGAAGTAATTTTTTTCCCTAATGGCGGGCCCAAGCTGTCTATAGATGTTGGCCTCTGCTAAGGCCGAACGTGGGGCTCACTTTATTATGAGGGCGTCTAATAGGTGGGCCACCGCTGTCTCCTGTGAGGGGACGGGCAAATTACATTCATACCTTCTCCAGGATTCGATCCCGGAGGTCTATATAAACTAATAACTATATAAAATAATATATATAAACTAATTTACATCTTTATTAATTCAATGCACAGAGAACTAAAACTTTCGCTGGACTGAAAATCCAAATCTCGTTACTTAACTATCTTGTTGCATTCAGTCTCTTTACTGAACTAATCTAATCACTGCAGCAAAGCAGCTCGGCCTTATATACCCTGCCAAATGCAAGAGATCTCCCACGAATTTTCGAGAAACTTCCGTTCTTGAAAATTCCCGAAGACGCAAGAAGATTATAGAATGCATCGTACTATCTTTGCATTAAAATTAAATTATACTGCATTTTACAGGACTAATCCTCCAACTCACGACGACATTTTTTCTGTCATTCTGTGGGGGTGTTTTGAGAAGTTGAATGGGTAACTCGATTATTTTGAGGGTTGAGGCTTTGCCTCTGGGGGTGGGGGGGGGCATTTTCCGTGCACCCTCAAAGATGGTACTGCCGGATATTGCAATTTCCCATAAATCAAGGGGGAAAAATTATTAAATCTTTTGAGTTTATAACAGTATTTTGACACACGCTTACCTACTCACTTTCTGCATATAGAATCGTAGCTACCTTCTGGACAGCCGCATGAGGATGGGCGCATGACTAGAGGGTTGGAAAACTGTTCGTGCCTTATAAAATTACAGCATCAGCGCTTGTAACATAAACACCGCGCATTTATACAAAACAGAACCCTTTTCGTATTCCTACATAGAGGTACATATACTTAAAAACTTCGAAGTTCTTCGAAGGCTTGCCCTTCATCAGAGGCCTGGGGCGATCCGTGTACCTTTCAGTACGTCGCTGTAGGCACACTACTTATCAAAAAATAAGAAAAAGAAAAGAAAGTATATGACATGTGATGAAATATAGGTTTTATAGGATACTACGAAATTTAGCAAATCATATCCTAAATAACGGTAATTTTTCAGGATACTTTTCGTGTAGTACAGGGTTTCCAGAAATTTTTCAACTAAAGTAGCAAAAGCAAAAGAGGACTAAAAAAGTCAAAAAAGTTAGACCTTGACCTTCTATTCTAACCTATTTGAAAAAAGGTCTCGCACAAAAATCGCAAATAACATCAGAGATCACGTTATTTTTGACGTCATAGCTACGCATGCTCGCATGAATCACAAATTGACCGTCTATTGGTTCTGTAAGTTATAGACTGCATTGGATTGTCAGTCTTTTTAATTACGTATCTTAGCTTTAACGAAAATTTTAAAATGATATTGCTCATTTTCAGTTGTTTAAATATCCATTTCTTTTTTAATTAATTCACATTTAATTTAGGTTTCTATTTTAAAATTAGTTTGCGGATATCCATTCTTAAAAGATTCCTCATGTTTAGACTGTCATCGATTTTGCACTGAATGTTTTGAGTTGGCAGTTAATTTTTTTTTTTCTTGTGAACCTTTTAATTGAGGAATGCTTTTCAGCGAGTTTTCCGTTCTGTGTGGTGAATCTGTTTCAGATTCTGTTTACTTAATAAAGCCTTGTTCTTTTACTGTTAAATTTATTTGTTTTTTTATTTAGAAAAATGCTTTGATTTTTAAGTCGTTTCCATTTCTTAGTTCTTAGCAATGTTATAATCAGGAGTATGAATTTTATATCTTTCTCTGTTTGGGTATCCATATATAACGCTTAAGCTGCAAGTTCTTTGATTCTATTCATTTTCACAATGGAACTGGGGGGGTGAACTGACTTGAAGACAAAATGCACGGGGGACGAGAGAGGGTGGTGAGAGGTCCCGAAGCATTTTTTATTCTTTCTTTTCTACTTTTTTCACTTCTCTTACCCCTTTCTCGTTATATTGGCATCAGGCTGCGCAGCCATGTAAAGGAAAGCCCACTTGTAAATCAGATTGCCACATGTCAACTTCTATTTAATCCTAAATATTTTTTAATATAAATTATTTTAACATAAAAGCATTTTACGATATATTAAAAAAAATCTTTGAAGTCTCAAAAAGTAGCATAAGAAAATGATGGATATCCCAAAAATTTCGCAAAATCGCAAGTACTAAAACTTTGGCAGCACAAATTTGTCAAAAATTGCAACTTTGCAAAAAATCGCACGATCTGACAACACTGGTGTAGTACCGAATTCCATGTTATCTTGGGCCTAGTGAGTTGACCAAAGAGAGCATATTGCCTCTTTACAACGGCTTATCTTAGGCTCAACCAATGCATACCATTTAATGTTTAGAGGGTTCTTTATTGTTTATAGTAGGGCTGTCAAACTATGATACATGTACCACTAATGGTATATTACATTCTTTTTTATGGTACAATTTTTACACAAAAGCTTTAAATAGATGTTCAAAAAGAGTGTAAAAATGGGCCCCTTTTGATACATATATTGATGCATGATGTTATATATATATTTTATTCTGATGTATGTGGTACAAAATGTAAAAAGTTTGAGAATTTGTCGTTTACAGTATAGCTGTCTGAAATTTCATACGATACTCAAACTTGATGATTTTAAGTGCAAGTCTGTATGAGCTAAGGGAATTCCGTTTTCACTGAAATATGAGATTATGCAGAAACTTTTTGCTAGTGTTTCTGTAATTTTCTTTTACGTAATACTTTGATACTTTGGTTGGTTATTCTGGCATGTAGCGGGAGATGCACTACTCCTGCTGTTTCCAGATTCCTGAATGAATCCCTTTAGAGACCTGACATATGTGAAAGTCCAAAAATGAAACTTCTCCAGTTGAGATAGCCTTGTAAATGTAATAGAGAAATGAAGCCCTGAACTTCGGTGATCAGCAAGCCATGTCTGGGGCAGCTGCAGAAGGACAGAGAGGTGGGGAAAGCTGGTCGGAACACATGAAGAGGTTTGTAGAGTCGGAAAGGTGGTGAGTTTACACACTACTCAGTGTGTAAGCTGAGCTCTCATTGGTCAGTTTAGGTAGACTGTAACAAGTGAGTGGCGAAAGGGCAAAGAAGTTTATCTTCATCAAGTATAACGTAACGTAAGATATTCGCGAAATTAGCCGGGTTGTAGCTAATCGCTCTGATGAAGAATTTTTCATTGATGCGTTTAATAAATTCTTGAATTTGTTCTAAGTTTAAATCTGAGTGCAGACTGCGATTTCTGACGAAGTAGGGAGCTCCGGTGATTATTCTTAATAACTTGTAGTTTTTGTAGTTGTTGTACCTCTCACATACAGCGAGGATAAGTCTGGCAACAGCTGCAGGAAGAACTTGGCAGTGCTGGAATTTCAACAGCGGATGATATTCTATAGATATTTTGATTTTGATTCGATGTTTCCTTTGCGATACTATTGCGTTAAAACATTTGAGTTTTGGGTGAATAAAATGAATCCGCTGTCCCGCTGCGGATATTAGTAAAATATATGTAGAAAATTAGCTGCGTTGGAAAGGATGAAACCTTGTGTTTGAATTTGCGGTATTTTTCTTCCTAAAGTTGCGTCGAGTTCAGAAATTATGCCAGGCTTATTCACGCTGGTGCAGATAAGTTCAAAAGTTTGTTATTGTGTTTATAGTGTATAACTTGCAAATATATGAATAGAATTCTATTAAATAAACATTTAAAATTCTGGAATGATGTTTTAAAATTTTAGATGTAGAGTATTCACATTGCTATGTCGGAGCCAGTGGAAGTCAGGTTAAAGTAAAAATTGTTTTTGCTCCACGACATAACAAATGGCGAGCCAGCCAGGATTGCGATCCTGATTCGAATGTGTTGGGATTATTATATAAATATACTTGAGAAAAAGTATGTGTTGTATATTATATTGTTGTAGAAGTAAATATTAATTTAGTGTATTTGGAAAACGTAATGCGTTTATCGTCTGCAAGTTGAATTTCGTATTTGTATTCGAATTAGTTTCAATTTTCAATTGAAATGCTATGCGCTAAATCGTCTGCAGTGTAAACGTAGAAAAGGCTATACGTTAAATCTTCTGCTGTGATATTCAAAATAATTTTGTTTGCTGTTATATGAATGTATGAATATTGTTATTCATTTTATTATTTGAGTATATTGTGGAATTGGAGTAAAGACGTTTTTGAGGATTTGTTGTATTGATGATAACATTACAGATTTTGAGTTTTAAGTGGGTCTGCATTTAAAGATAAAAATGGATGTTGATATGTTGAAGAAAAAGCGTGCAACGGCACGCAGTGCCTTTAATAGGACGGCTAAGATTCTAAAAATCGAACTTTGTAAAGATTTTCAATCGGATAGAGATATATTGAAAGACAAAATTTTGAAGTTGCAGATGATAATTGCTGAGTTGAGATCTTGCGATTCAGAAATACAAGATTCAATGATTAAGGGAAAAGCTGCTGAAGATGATCTGGAAACAGAGGTCATAGGCTGCGAAGAACATTCAAATGAGTTTATCACGCTTAATCGTCGGGTGAAAGAGAATATAGATAATGCGGTTGACTGTAGTGTCAATACG